CCATAAAAGTTCACATATCCCAAGAACCATATCTCTATATTCTGCTTCTGCATCTTGTTGTTACATTTTGTTTTTTGCTTCTCCATGTGACAAGATTTTCAGCAACAAATGTAAAGTAGCCAGAGGTGGACCTTCGGTCAGTGATGTTTCCTGCCCAATCCGCATCGGTAAATCCTTTCCCTTTCATATGTCCATGTCTCTTGAATGTCAGTCCTTTTCCTGGAGCTCCCTTTAGGTAACTCAAAATTCTCATTACAGCAGCCATATGACCTTCACTTGGAGCATGCATAAACTGACTTACCACACTAACAGCATAGGCAATGTCTGGACGTGTGTGGGACAAGTAAATTAATCTTCCTACCAATCGTTGGTATCTTTCCTTGTTGGTTGGTACTTGTTCTGGGTAAACGGCAAGGCGATGATTCTGAATAATAAGAGTCTCTGTTGGTTTACATTCTAGCATACCGATTTCGGATAAGAGATCTAGTATATATTTTCGTTGTGACAAATATATACCATCTTTGGACCTTGCAACTTAAATCCCCAAAAAATATTTCAGTCCTCCTAAATCTTTCATTTCAAATTCAGAAGACAAGCATTCTTGTAGCTTTTTCATTTTATCTGTGTCATCACCAGTTACGATCATATCGTCTATATAGATAATGAGCAATGTAACTCTACCATTCTTACGTTTGATAAATAGAGTGTGATCTGAGTAGCCTTGGTGATAACCAATTTTTTTCATAACATCGGTGAACCTCCCAAACCATGCCCTTGTCGATTGTTTCAAGCCATACAATGCTTTCCGCAATCTGCAAACTTTTCCACTAGAATGTGGAGTGTTGAATCCAGGTGGGAGATGCATATACACTTTCTCTTCCAAATCTCCATGAAGGAATGCGTTCTTTACATCAAATTGTTTTAAAGGCCAATTAAAATTCGCTGCCAAGGATAATAAGACTCTGATGGTGTTCATTTTGGCAATTGGAGCAAAAGTTTCTTGATAGTCAATGTCGAATGACTGAGTATACCCCTTTGCTACTAACCTCGCCTTGTACCGATCAATTGTCCCATCTGCTTTGTGCTTGAGGGTAAATATCCATTTACAACCCACTGGATTTTTTTCTGAAGGAAGTGATACAACATTCCATGTGCCATTTTTTTGTAGTGCATCCATTTCAGCTTGCATTGCCTCTGCCCATTTTGGATTTTTTAGAGCTTCCTCAACCTTTGTAGGTATTTTTATATTCTCCATCTCATTTACAAATGCTTGGTGTTGTGGTGACAACCTATGTGTAGAGACATACTGTGTGATTGCATATCTCACTTTTCCATCCGGAGAGTACCTATCAGGTGGTTTTCCACGATTTTTTCTGGGAGGCAAAGAATAAGATGGAGCAGATAATAAAGGAAGGAAAAAAACTCTTTCAGGTGTATTTACCTCAGGAATATCCATTTGATCTTGGACGTGTACTTGAGGAGAGGAAGGGGCTACTTCATCATGGTCATCTTGTTGTTAACTAGATTCAACAGAAATATGTTCAGAGTTCTGTACCATATCAGGCTTAAGGGCTGTATCTGGGTCTTGGTTTTGAGCTTGGTCTTGTCTTTGAACTCCCTCTGAACCAGATAACTCGGTGTTTTGTGGAAGATCAATCCAGTTGTAAGCCTCACATTGCGGCTCCCCCCGAGGACTAGAGGTGGAGTGATCTGTATGGAAAAAATATTCTGTTTCGGAGAAGGTAATATCAATGCTAACATACATGTGGTGAGTCGGAGGATGATAACATCTGTATCCCTTTTGATGAGGATGGACATCGAGAAACACACAGCGCACTGCACAAGGATCTAGTTTGGTGCGTTGGTCTTTTTGTATGTGAACATATGCTACACATCCAAATACACGTGGATCTAAGTGTAGTAAGGATGGAGCCTGAACATGTTGAGTAAATACATGTAGGAGAGTGCGAAACGAGAGGACTCGTGATGGCATCCGGTTCATGAGATAAACTGCATAGGTTATAGCATCAGCCCAATAATTTTGAGGAACACTAGCACCAATAAGAAGAGCTCTAGTGGTTTCAAGTATATGCCTGTTTTTACGCTCTACAACACCATTTTGTTGTGGAGTACGTGGGCAGGTAGTCTCATGGAGAATACCATTGTTTTGAAAAAAATTGGAGAGTTCAGAGTTAAGGTATTCTCCACCATTGTCTGATCGAATGATTTTAATTGAAAGAGAGTACTGGGTGCGAACCATTTGATAAAAAATTGGGAATATATTCCGCACATCACTCTTGTGTCGCATAGTATATAGCCAAGTCATTCTGGTGCAATCGTCTACAAAGGTAATAAACCATTGAATTCCAGATTGAGTAGTAATTGGTGCAGGTCCCCAAACATCAGAGTGGATCAATTCAAATGGAGCTATTCTTTTATTAAGACTTGAAGTGTATGAAGCACGATGGCTCTTAGCCAAAATGCAAATATTACACTTAAGAGAAGATTCTGAAACATCACCAAATAAAGATGGGAATAATTTTTTTAAATAACCAAAGGAGGCGTGTCCAAGTCGATGATGCCACAACCAGATATTCTTTAAGTTATTGTCAGTCTGGCTCTGAACTTGATGAACATGACCTGAAGCAACATCATCTACATAGTATAGCCCCCTCCTCTTAGTACCACGCCCAATAATCGCCTGAGTTCGGATATTCTGAAGTAGGCAAAAAGTGGGAAACATTAATACAATACAATCTAACTGTTCCGTAATCCGACTAACTGATAATAAATGATTTGATAGTGCAGGAACAAGTAAGCAATTATGTAGTGAAAGAGTGGAGTTAAGGGCTATAGATCCTGCTCCAATTACTGGAATAGGCTCTCCATTGGCTGTCATGACACTATTCTTGGAGGGATAAGTCATGTATTGAAATAGAGTTTTGTCGTAAGTCATATGGTCGGTGGCACCCGAGTCAATGATCCAGCTTGTATCATGAGCCACAGATGCAGAAAAAATCATGCCAGTGTTACCTGAGGTAGTAGTAGAGTCATTCAAGGACACGTGGTTGACTAAAGAGAGTAATTCACCCGGTTCAGTATGGTCATTTTGACCTGTTGCCATAGCAGCCATTCCAGGGACAGTATCAATTGAATTGGCTACCTTTGCTTGGCCTGGACGCTTATTGTTTCGTGCTTTATTTTGCTTCCGTTTTTCTAGAATCCAGTCAGGATAGCCGTGAATTTCAAAACAAGTATCTTTGGTATGGCGAGTACCATTGCAATGACTGCAATGCAACTTATCTTTTTCTGCGTCCTCAACAGCTCGAAGAGTGCGATAGTTAGACGAGGTGGTTTTGGAGACCATTGCCATGGACGAGCCTTCACCAGTATCCCTTTTTCTAAGCATGGTGACTTGACGTTGAGCCTCTTGTCGAATAGTATTGAAGCATTCTTCAATACCTGGGACAGGTTTCATTCGGAGAAGATCACTTCGGATAGAATCAAACACCTCATCTAATCCCGCAAGAAAGTCATACATCCGATCTTTCTGAATTTCTTCTTGTCTCGTTCGGAGGTCTGTGGCGCATACCATTTTAATTGGGCGTCGCTTATCGATTTCTTGCCAAACACTGTTGAGTTCAGCACAATAAATATTGACTGGACATCCATTCTGCTTTGTCCTCGTGGCCTTGCAGCGTAGTTCATAATATTGGGATTCATCAGCCCCATCATAGAAAGTTTGGGTGACACTATCCCAGATTTCCTTGGCTGTTGGAAGATCAATAAACAAGCCAAGGAGATTTGGTTCCATGGTTTTCAACAACCATCCTCGCACAATTGCATCCTCAGTGCACCACTTTGAGTAACCAGGATCTTTCTCATCTACTTTTGGGGTCTGTCCATTCAAATAGCCAAGTTTATTTAATCCCGCAGCATGAACTTCAATCATTCGTGACCAGATTTTGAAGTTTGTATTGTTCAATCTAAAACCAAATGGTAAGCTGTTGAGATTGGGTAATTCAATTGGGTTGGGAGTTTGGTTCATAGTGACAATATCAGTATTTCTGTCATTCATGGTTGGTCCCTTGTTTCAGGACCAATTCTGAATGAGGAATTCGGTTAGCCTATAGTGGCGGCTTAGGGTTTATAAAAGAAGTTTGGGATAGGCTCTGATACCATGTTGTAGTTTAAGGTTTTTGGTGTACTTTATTTCTTCCTGGAAAAAGCCTTTACATAGACAGATTACATAACACAGATCCTATATCAAAGGAGTACATCAAGGTATATCAATCATTTCTCCTATAATATATCTCTCTCATACAGGAAGATATACTCCTTTCCATACAAATTACCTATAATTTAGCTAATCACATGCTAACAAATTTCTCCATGGGGCTCCTTTTGTTCGACTTTTATGTCATCTCTTGTAGCAAGAATTGGCACATAAAAACTGATAACCATCTCAATTATAATAACAAATGTTTGAGATCAATCCCTACGTCGAATAGAACTTAATACCATAAGTTTGATAGAAAAGAGATGTTGCGCTATTTTTGTTCATCCTTAAAGTTAAATGGTTCAAAGATTCTACTTTGGCAGATCCTCGTGTGTCAAAATGAGTCTTCAATTGCCTGCATTAATCATAAATTCATCAATTTTTTAATTTTTTTTTTTAATTTAGGGATTTCTGAAGAATACAGAGATGTTACTTTCTGATTGAATCAGTTATCTTGTCAAGTGAGTGATTGATAATTTCATTTTGTTGGTTTTATGTTGGTCCCTTTTCCATCAACAACTTTGGAAGATGAGAAGAGCTACTAGGTCACTTAGATGAACAGGCAAGCTAGCAGAATAGCATAAGTAGGAATTTACCAAAAAAAGTAGTTCCTGGCAGCGGCGAATCCAGGATTCGAGTCCAGCTAGGGCGGGTTGACTGTTGACCATTGACCATCGACAGCTGACCGTCGACAATCGTAATAGGTCCGATCGTTTATTAAATGGTAAAAAGTCAAAATCGTATACATATGAAAATATACTTCAATACAACTCAAAATAGTAAAAAAATATACGATACAACCTTACTCAAAATCGTAAATATTATATTAATCAATGCTCAACATCAACAACTCACAGTAGGCAGTGCCGAAGACGCAGTAGCAGGGCAAAATAAAATAGAACAAAATCTAAATAACCAAAAGAAAATAGAACAAAACCAAAACAGAAAAATAAATAAATAAATAAAGAGGGAAAGAAAGAGTTACCAATGGCAGTCTAAGACTCTGAGGTAGTTCGTAGTGAGGTGGGGTCGAGAATAGAGTCTAGAACTAGAACTAGAAGGCAACAGCTGGTCAGCGGTCACGATTCGTTCGGCGTTCACTGCAGCAAACGACTTCTGCGGTCGACTCGAAATCGCGGGTCTTTGTGGCAGCAAGCATTGGAGCAGTTGAGGCACTGAAAGATCAAGGAGTTTGCAGGTGGAATTATCATTTAAGATTACTTCATAATCAAGCCAAGAAGAATCTCAAATCCTATTATCAGACTCAAATTCTACCTCCAACTGGAAAATTTTATTCTTCTACTGCTACTGCTGTTGTTGGGAAGATGAAGAGAAGCGAAAAATCTATGGAAAAAGTGATGGATTTGAGTTGCAGCAGTCTGTTTGACTGCTTCCTGGAGATGGAGAAAGAAGAAACGAGGTCGACGAAAAGGGTTTGGCAATTTGGAGGAATTGTATTTGGGAGATTCACAGTTCTTGCTTGCTGGACGCCTGGACCTCAGGACCCCGGACGATTAAAAAATTGAAATGATGAAATGGTTTGATAAATTGGATAATTTCATTGACAATTGGGCTAAATAATAAGAGGTCCAAAATTTCTTTAATTCACTGAAGCCCAAACAAAAAAAAATGGGCTTTCTTCTTGCTTCTCCTTCTCCAAGCGGCAGACGAGGCTACCAGCGGACCAGGCAATTCTGCAACTACTGTGCACAGCGAATGGCTTACCCAGTTACCCGGATGTACTATAGATTCAGGCGGAGCCAGCACGCGCGGTCGCCCCCCCTCACCGGGTGCTGGCTCCGCGCCTGGTTCCTGGCATACATACCATTATCAAGTGTGAAACCATTCTTTGATCACCTAGCTAACTATAAGTTCAGGTCAGAATGGTGCCACTCCTCTGCGATATGTCAAGGCCGTTTCCATTACACTTAGACGAAGAGTAGGGTCTTTTCTTGCTGGACGTTGACAGTTTAGTGCCAATACTAAGAATGTAAAAGTTAAAAGGTTTTAATAAATTCATAAAATCAAATAAATAACACGTTGAAGATTAATGGTTTTGCAAGCAATCCGATTTATGCTATCTATAATTCCTCTAAATTAGTAAAATAGACTAAACAAACCTCGTTGACTTCTATTTTCTATGAGACAAAATCATACTTACAACCTGAGTTGGGGATTGATTTTATTTCATCACCTATAGCTCCAGATAATAAGCACATTATTCACTGGGAGTTCCACAGATAAGTAAACAAAGTACACATTTTAATATTAGCATACCAGATGTTCCTGGAGTGGCCATTAAGTTGGCATTAGATGCGATCAGTCCATTGGCTTCATGTTGCATCACATCATTACAACTTTTTTTTTGGAGATACTAGCTTCTTGATCGAAGTTGGCGTTGATTGGGAGCCAATTCTGTTGTCAGTATCTTCGGTAAGCTTCACATCCAAGCATTTAATTAGACGGAGGCAGATAACTCTTTCAAAAACTTTATCTTATGAAATTAGTTGTGGTTTACATGTCCTGGTGGCTCCATAAAATGCATTCTTTCCGGTGGAGTTGACGATGATGCTTCAGGTGGCTAGGGCATAGAAGTCCTATTTGTATGCAAGCAGAGATGTTGAGTCTTGTTCTGAAGGAGAAACATAAGCACAAGGTAAAGCAAAATCTGACCAGAAGGTGCTTCGTGTAGAGCTTGGGTACTTCTCATCTACAGCTCCAAAAGAGGCGCTGGGTAGTGAACTTTTTTATTGCCCATACATAACCTCTCCATTAGAACAACAGGTGGCAGCTCCATGAGCTTTGCTATCTTCATTGTAGATATGACATTCAAGTTCTGTAACACATTAAAATTTGACACTTCTAGTTAAATGTCACTAGTTAAGCTATAAATGGAAACTTAAAAAAGCAAGCCATGAATTCTTAGTATATCTGAAATCCTGATGTATCAGGACAATAACATTGGGTTTTGCTCGTGAAATCGCTCTAGAGTTGAAGTTGCAGTGTTTAGTTTTAGCATTTGTAAAGAAATGAGTGAACTAAGGAAGGCATATGAGTAAGTAGAGAAAACTACCTTTCGCCTTTTTCCCCCTTTTGACACAATATCATTAGAACTCTGAAGCCAAGATTGATATGTGTGACAAGGGATAATCATTTGATCATAGTCCATGGCTGTAGCTAAAGGTCTTCTTGCTTTCCTACGAGCTGGCCCTTGCGTTATTTGATTCCGCTGATTTCAAATTCAAATAAATATCCTAGACTGATTACATATGCAATTTCTAATTACAGTTCGATGTGCATATTACACTACCTGATTAGATTCCTTTTCTCTCATCAGATGTTTGATTGATTCGCTCATCTAGATGTTGCTCAAAGGTTACATCAGCTGTAGGAGTTCAAAAATATCAAAAATACATTTTCCACATTTACTCCGACATAATCCATCTATTGTTATCCATCCTAATTTTGTACTAAGTTCTTACCAAATATAAATTTAGATCGTTAAATCCACAGACACACCAATCATACCAAGTTCAAATTTATTTTTCTTAAGGATTTTATTGTGAAAAGAAGATCAAAATTATACATTTGGAAAATGTAATACTAAGAAAAAGGGAGAAAGTCAGACAATAAAGTCAAAATATTGTTGTGGGAATCAATTCAACAGAAGATGCATGAATGGATAGATAAAAGAAAACCCCAAAAGTATTATTAAAGAAGAACATAAATCTCTAAAGAATTAGAAAAAAAGAATGTTAATTACCTCTCTGCAATTGATTTGAGCACTCAGTGTGTGTATGTATTCATGTATTTGTAATGTGCAAAAATAATGTGGTGTGATAGAGCTTGTTTGGCTGCGTTCAAAGTTTTTTATGGAAAATTGAGTTTCTAAACTCTTATTAGGCAAATAAGTAGAAGAACAACCAAATATGCTAGTTTGGCACGACTGAAGTTTAGTTGGAAGCTGTTAGTAATTTCAGAAAATTGTTATGTTATTCTTGCTATTAAACTTTTTATTTTTTGGAATGAGATAATTTTTGGTATATTCAATGAAAAACTTAGGCGAAGGATTTACAATTATAATTATTACATTTCGACTCCATATACATGTTCCAATTCGAAATCGATGTCCTATTATTCACTTTTATTCATCAATTGACTACCAATCAACAACCTTTTGATGCTTGAGTGAATTGCTCAAATCATAAGAGTTTGTACAAAATCAATATAATAACTTAGAACTGTTACTTTCATAAAAACAAATAGTACTTACTATTTATGTACATACTCTGAATTCTTTTTTTTTTTTTTTTTTTTTTTTTTTTTTTTTTTTTTTTTTTGGTTAATTTCGATTATGCTAATAATCTGTTCATAGAACTAGGAGTGGATACTTTTTTCCAAAACCGGTGGAATCGGATCAGAACCGTTTAGAACCGGCCGGTTCGATTTCGAATCTTTTAAAAAACAATTTGATTTCGGGACAAATTTTTATGAACCGACCGGTTCCTATCCGGTTCTAGTATGGGAACAGCGGGAACCAGACGGTTCTCATTGAATTTTTTTTCTTTTTTTTTTGGGTAAATATATGACTCAATCTTTAACACTTTTATTAAAAATAATCGGGTTCCTTCTGAATTTGAAATCCCAGCACTTTCCTTCTTCTCTTTAATTCTTTCCTTTTCTCTTCTTATAATTTTTTGATTAATTGATTTTCAAGCCATATTAAAATATTGGGTAAATCTATATCTAAATAAATTTATTTACAATATATAATTTCATTTATAAGATGCGAAATTTTTATTTTGTTTTCACTTTGTAAATTTATACCTAAATAAATTTTTGAATAATATGTTCGATTTTTCTATATTTTGTTAAAAGTATCATGTTGGTAGCATTTTTAAAGTTTTTATTAGTGAACATATTATTTTGGTTCGATTCCGATTCGGTTCCACAGTTAGCTATTGAATCAATGATTTCATTTCTAAAATTCCCATTTGTATTCAATTCGATTCGGTTTCCTTTGAAATCAAACCAAATCGGACCGCGCCCACTCCTACATATAACTAATAATCGATCAATTTGGCCCCTCAGGACATAGCCTAGTAGTGCAAAGGATAGAAGTGAGGTTATCTCACGCCTTGTTGGCAGCCGCAGTGTGAGGGTTCGATTCCTGAAACGTGGAATTTGACTCCTTGTAGGCGCATTGGACACTCTTGTTCCCTGACCTGTTAGGGCACATCCTGCGATTTACCTCCCTCACAAAACTCTATTGACGAACAATGGAGGCTCTCAAGGTTGGGGTTCAACCTTTTTTTTATTTTTTATTTTTTTAATAATCGATCAATTTGACAAACGACTTGTTACCCAAAGTGCTGAATCAATGACCCGATTGGATCGAATCCGATCGGATCGAGTCCGTTCAATCACGGCTTGCTAAGTACTAAACCAATGTCAGCAGCTTGTTCCCTAGGTCTTAACTCGTGCAAGTCCACGTATTTACCACGTGCTTCGAATACTAGATATATATCAGTCGATTTAACCGTGTTTAGCGTGGGTTTTCTGCGACTAATCGAGGGCTCTTCCTTTAACTTCGCGGTTCTGCAAAATTTGTTTCTGAATCTTTACTCTATTTGTAATAATCTTGAAGAAAAATGGTGGAAAAGAAACTTTTTAAGACGAAGCTATGTCAGTTGTACCAGAAAGGTCGCTGCAATCGCCAGTATTGTAATTATGCACACGGCGAAGCCGAGCTCCGCCGCTCCTTCAATGGTACTTTCTCTATTATGTTTTATTTACTTTTTTTTTTTTAAACAAATCCTTTATCATCTCTTTGACAGTTCATTTATTCGATCGGATTCGATTCCTTCTAATTAATGTTTTATGCTTCCTTTGCCCTTTTCCCGGAAAGATGGTAAATTTCTTATTTTATTGGATACTTTCGCTTATTTTGGAGAAATATAAGTGACGTGTAAGGAATTAGATTAAAAAATAATGAATAAAGACAGTTATTACTTGTACTTTGGCGAGGATGTAATTAATACAATTTTTTTATGCGTCATTTCCTGTTGTTTCCAGTGAATTTATGAGTTTCAGCGAACCGGAGAGCATGTGGGTAAATCTTCGAAATTGTATCAATTTAGTAGTTTATTGCTGTCGAGAAATATGCTACTTTTGATATGAAATTTCTACATGTTTGATAGTGTTGACCTGTAATTCATGTTTATTCTATCATTTTTCTACATTAGTTATTTTTTAGATATATAATTGACATGTTCCTCGAGGAAAATAGATAGATATTAAAACAATGAATGTAATATTCGTTTTATTTGGTAAGGATATAATTTATACATTTATTTTTATGTATCATTTCCTGTATTTTCAGTGAAATTATGAAATTTGGGACGGTGTTAGAGAAGAGGTGCACGTGGATAATTTTTTGAAATAATATCATTTATTTAATAGTTCATTACTAAAGAGAAACGTGCTATGAAATTTCCACGTATTTGATAGAGTTGACTTGTGATTCATTTTTTTTTTTTTGTTTGTTTGTAGTTTATTAATCTGTATGCTAATGTTTTGGGGATACTAAGCCGGTGTCATTTTCTTCCTTACTTCTGATTTTTTTGGAATATATAGGATAAGTCATTTTGAGTACCATAAAGTGTTGTGTATTTCATTTTTCTTAGTACATTGAGCAACTTCCAGCTTATCAACTTAAATTTCCGTCCATGGATGCTTGCAAATTTGAAGTTGAGCGGGGCCTGGTCTGGCAAAACAAAGTATTCGATGCTTTATATAATTAAAATATGGAACTATGGTTAGTTTAATTCATACATGCACTATATTGACCTGCCCAATTTAAGCCCAAAGCTCGTGCAGATTCTTGGGCTAAACTTGGCAGAACATCTTCAGTCTTTTGGAGTTGAATGTGCTTGGACATTCCATCACCGTCTTTGATTCGGTGGACTGTGCTCACCCAGCTTAAACCCAGCCCTCCCATTTATGGACCAATATTGTGCATATTGACTGCCTGAGTATCTCTTATCAGAATGGACTATGCTGGTTGATTTATCTTTCTGCTGCTTGTGGTATTGTTTCTCGGCTTCTTGGTTTATCCTATTGCTTCTCGAAACAGCAGTAATATATGAGGACCAGAAATTAGGTTTTTATGGATGTAATCTCTATTTACATAGTTCACCGGCTGATTAGGTGAACTATCTGTATGCCTTATCCTTCTAGATGCTGTGGTTTGTATATTCATCGAGAATGTGGTATTTTCTTCATGTGATTTCTCTATGAATGATACTGGAAAGGGATCTCTTGGTCGGGAACTGTATTCCAGGAGGCATTATGTTCCAAGTGGAATGGATAGTATTAATTTGATAAGGGCATGAGAAGAAATCTGCACTATAGCCTTATATTCTTATTGAAGAAGTGGCAAATGATTCTGCTATCTTTTATAAGTTGCTTCCACGATTCTTGAAGGGTCTATTGATAAAAGCTCAAACACTGGTATATCTTTATCCATTCATTATATGAGAGCTGTAATTTCTATGGCTCTAATGGAATCTACAAGATGGCTGTCTAATTGTTCTTATTTATCTTATACATTCCATGATATGGTAAGCTAACTTCAAGTTTATTGTTGGGTCATGACTCCCTGCTTTTTACTGCTTTCAAGTGATGACTCTGCCCTTCCCATGGAATTTTTTTTGTTTCAAATTGCAGGGAGGCAGGACTACCGAGGTAGAGACCTGAGAGAAAGGCTTGATAGAAGGCATTCTCCACTGCGTAGATACTCACTAGAGAGAGATTCAAGAGCAAGACATGTATCTCATGGTAAGATGTTGATCCTTATAATTGATTTTCTTTTTGAGTTGTGGTTTACTTAACAATCATCATCTTATATCGGTTTCCTTTGGATGTTTGTTCTAATGTCATTTTTAGGAGGCAGTCCTCACTCTCTTGGAAAAAGGACGTAAGTTTGTCAGCAGACCTTCTACTCACCTCCTCTCTTGGTTGTTTGATGATACTCAATCATCTGTTATTCATGTACTCTATGACGGACGGACATGGACACGAACACGCTGTCACCTACCCTTTTTTTTTTTGTCTTTTCAGTTTACAGACCTTTTTGTTAATTTCTTCAAAAAATTGAACTCAAATGGTCACTAACATTTGATGGGAGAAAGAAGTTCATGAAGTAATGGCGTTTAAAACATTCTACCTACTCTGATTTCTTTGCTATCATCTTCAAATGCATACTATGTTGCAGTGACGGAAGGGCAAGGAAAAGACAGCAGGTAGATACCCGTAGTGATTATTCTGGAGGCTTCAAAACATCAGATGGAACTGAAGATCAAATCAGAGATAAAAGGCAGACATCCTCTGATTCCAAAAATCTTCTTGATGACCAGGTTTGTATCCTTTTCAGTTCATAGAAGTAGCGTATTACATTTGCATGAAGTAATAAATGCAGATCTTCCTTTTCTCATGGTGGTCCAATCAATGTCATCTTTGTCTTTCTTTTTTTGGATGATATGCAGTTGAGGCAAATGAAGTCAGATATTTTAAAGTTGGATTGTGACAAACAACAGCTGGAGGTTAGTTTCCTTTGTTTGCAGTTGCAGCAGTACATAAGTTGTTTTTTGATCTATATTCTGCATTTGTTTTTGCCTTCTCTTGCTCTTTATGATTCTTGCGTATTAGAATACTCTAATATCCAATTTTTTCTTATTTTGGCGGCATAAGTAGTAGGCTTTTATATATTTATTTAATTTTTTATATGAATCAAAATGTAAATTCCTTCTTTGCTGTACTGGTTTCTAGATTCGTATGCAATCTGTTTGCAAAGTGCTACGCCAGTCATTTTAAGTCCATGAAGACTAATTAAAAAATAAACGATGGTTTGAGCAAGATAAAAGAAGGGAAAAAAGGCAAACACTGTGAGATGAATTTGAAGATGCTGTGTCTTTATGGGGTATCAAGGATATACATGTTTACTTCTTCTTCTTATCCTAATTTAATCTCCTACATTCCGCTTACCTCCGAGTTCGGTCGGCTGGGCACCAATCATTCCTAGTTCAGTTGACTCAACGGCAGTCATTCTTTCAGGGGCCTTGTGTTTTCCATGTTTTCTGTTTAATTGTATGCATATCAAATGGTTCTGAGACCCTGTATGTGCAATAAACGGAAAAGTGCAATGAGGAGGTTTCTCGTGGCTCTGTGTTTTTCTGTATTTTTCTACTAAAGTTTAGTTATTGGTTGGATATTTGGAATTTAGAATTTAAAAAATATTTTCTTTTTTCTTAACTTTTGTTTCTTCTGCTTCATCTTTCTCTGCAAGGAAGTTTGGTTTCTTTCTCGAGGTATATTTTAGAGTTTATATTCCTTGGATAATATTTGGAGCATATTTTTGTGATTGTGTCTAAGATCTTCCTAGAAAAGAAAGTTCAAGAAGCAGATAGCCTAAATTTGGGGATTCAGGAGCTTGAAATGCAACTATCCAAAGAAAAAGAGGAATGCAAAAGGTGCCACTCTTAACTGGATTTTTCTGTTCTTCTCATATTCTATGATACTACTTCTTAATTTCAATGACTTTTGACCTCTCTTTTATTTATTTTCCAGGATTACTTCGAAAATGAAGAAGTTCATCAAAGCACATGGTCGACACCTGCGGCTACAAGAGGAATTGAAGAGGCAAGTTTTTGTTTGGATGTTGTCTCCCCTTTATTTGTAATGCACTAATTTTCTGACTTTCAGATAGGGTTCTATAATGTCAATCAGCCTAAATGATTTGACTTGTAGGTCACAGGCTCAGCTTAAGAAGCTGGGGGAGCAGCTTGGTTCAGATGCTGCGGGACCTATTGCTAATGAAGATGATATAAATATTAACACCATGAGCGACGATGAAACTGCTGATGAGCTTCTAAAAGATGCTTCTCCACGCAAGAAAAGAACAAGAGTTCACTTGGAACCTCGTGATATCTCAAATGAAGGTAGTAAAGAAACCTGAAATGAGGAATAAAGCCCTTAGATGTTCATTTTTTATTATTTAATAAATACACGTAAAATTCTTTGATATTATCACATCTTGGAAGTTACCATACTTAAGAACAGTTATCGCATATGTCCTCCTTTATGTTTTGGAAATATCATTTAGTCCATTATTATCCAAATATGCATCTGGTTAATTTCTAATTTTCCGAAATGCTGGCTGTACTTTGTTCACAAGACAGCTTCTTAAGATTAGTGATTGCTCAAAATTTTCTACCTTCTATCATGTCTTGTATTAGTGAACTGCTCATTGACAGCGCTCTGGTTGTGAATAAATGTAACTATGATGAATTTATTTGTTACCAGAGAGAAGTGGAATCAAAAGCCTATTATCTTTGTACACAAGTGTTCTTTAAGCAGAATATACACGCTAAATTACTTGCAAATCTTTCCACCTTCTAATGCAAGATAATGTATTACGTCATATATATGTATTGATCTATTCATTGATGGTTCTTTGTTTTGTCAAAAAAATGGAATTTCTGATGAATGCGTTTGAGACCAGAAAGTAATGGAATCAATAGCCTATTATCTTTGTGCCTAAGTGTTTGTATGCTTAAAATACCAGATAAATCTCATAATGAGAGTAAGTATTAAAAGTGAAGAACATAAATTTCAGGAAAAAATGACATCCTTGCTCAATCATTCACAAATTTGAGGTTATGATGTAACAGTAATCAGGGTAAATGGTAGTTCTTTACTTGGGTATTTTTACTTGAAGTGGGAGGTTTTATTTTTCAATTAGGCTTGGTAGTGAAGTTTATGATATGGATTTGTGCATTTACTAAACTAGAGTCAAATGTTACATCACCCGCGGTATGAAGAGAAGTTTTTATTCAAATAATTATTTTGTGCCGAAAAGTAAGTACTAAAATTTTTTGACCACTTTATTTGTGATTGTTGGGGGTGGCTATTGCAGCACTTTGAGCTTGAGGATTTCTTGGTGGAATTGTTTGATTGCTAACTTAACTTGGTGCTGAGTTCCACAAAGTATCAAGCTGACTTCTAATTAGCTCCTTATTGCAAGACCCATTTGTTAATCTGCAACAGATTTTGTGAGTATTGCTTAAAATGTCGCATGGCCAAGATTCAGCAAAAAGTCAGTTTGTACCAAACTGACTTTGTTGTTCTAGGTCTTAAAGTGAATTGGTTCAATTTAAAAGCATGTTTGGGAAGTGCTTATAAACGGTTTAAATTATAAATAGATAAAAATGAGTGGTATATAAGTAAATAGTATTTGTAGATATCTCGAAACGCGTGAATAAAAAGTTGTTTAAATGTTCATAAACATGAGCAAAACATAGGCTAAGTACATATATTTCTGTGTCTCAACAAGTTTACCTTTGGATAAATGGTGACTCTTTTCTATTTCCTTCTAATTAAATTTTTTTTTTTTTTTTGGCGGGCGAATTTTCTTAAGTTTTGTATGTGCAATCAGTCAGTAGCTTCCCAGAAGTTAATTGGCCTTAATATTTTTACTTGATACTTCTGGCACTTGGATACATGTAACTTTTACTCTTTATAGCATCAGATCTTTTATTTTGAACGCGCTTGCTGACCATTTGACTGAGTGTGTCTGGACTTCGATTACTTTCTTATAGTACTGCTTTGGGATTGACCGGTGTAACTGCAATGTTTTGATTATTGTACACTCATGTATTAGCTAACAGTTTTTGCTTTCCCCAGAAAATCCTACTAGAGGAGATAAATTGGCAAAACTTTCCCGTCGTCATGTGCATCATCTGCAATCAAGCTATAGCAAAGAACCTGAGGCATATGGTGATGCAAATAATGGACATAAGCAATCTGCACTCGTAGAAAAGGAAAGGAACACTCCTGATACTGCCTTGCCGGATAAGGTGCTGTAATTGTTATGTTACGTTTATTTTATCATCTACCTTCGAAGCATTTCCTTCTTTTTCTCCATAAAAAATCATTTGGCTTTTAATTCATGTGTGAGGAATGCTATTCATGGATCATAGGATCATCCTAAGGCTCAAAAGGTCCATGGATGACTTTTGCATTCCCCAGGTTGAATTTGATCAGTTTAGTCAAAGACGTATATAAATGAATAATATTACTTTTTCAAGCATAGACAGCCTTCTGACCAAAACTTGAAGCAATTCTTCCAAGACAGTAGGATTTTGGCTGAATTCATGATTTAGAGGCTAAACAGACACTAGTTACTTTCGCTGTCATTTATGCTTGTTTCGTTATTGTATTTCAATTTGGGTTAATTTTTTAAATTTAGTAATGACATACGGCAGCAAGGTTTTCGTATTTTGATAGATTTGGATTTAGTAACCTTGTTTTAAAAGTTTTCTTAGCTTATCTATCAAACTCTCGATCCATTGTGTACATTTGGAGTTCAAGTCGTGGATTATGTGCAAGTTGTTCTGGTGAAGGACTGTTTCCGTGCTCACCAATGTATTCTATCAAACTCTTGATCCATTGTGTTCATTTGGAGTTCAAGTCGTGGATTATGTGCAAGTTGTTCTGGTGAAGGACTGCTTCCGTGCTCACCAATGTAATAAATTGGTGGCTCGTAAGATCAGCTCCGTGGAAGTAATTGAGAATATTAATTTGAGTGCTTATTGATTGAAGCTCATGAGTCTCATTAATACAACAAACTTCTTTAATGCTAAATACCTTATTCGGTATCATGACAAAAACTATCATGAGATTCAGCTGGTTATTCATGGACGAGTCTTCTGCACCATGGGTAGAATGATGTATTCCACAAAAGAGTGAGAATTTTGGAATTGTTGGGATCATCCCAAGGCCCCAAAAGGCCCACGGATGACTAGGCCTTGATTTGCCCAAAGATATTGCATTTGGGCTTTTGGCCGAAATCCATCTAGAAGGTAAATGGATTCACGACTACTCTCCCGAAAGATATACTTGGTTTGTCATTTTTTCCCCCCTTCATTTTGGGGCTGATTTTTGGTTTAGTAACTGTAGAAGTATTATAAAAGATTGCTAGGTTTTCCTATTTTTGCTGATTTGGGTTGCATAACATTGTTTTTAGAGTTTTATCAATCTATCTGTCAATCCTCGGTATTAGTTTTGAACCGTCGAGTGCTTGGTCGACGTGTTTTTTTTTATTGTTTTGCTTCCTTGCTGTATCAGTCTCATTGTACAATGTACGTAACAAAACTTGTTTATTTGTATGGAGCATGTGTTCATATTCAACCGAAAAAAAAAAGGAAAATGCATGGTACTTTAGTTGGACTTATGCTCAGGTCTCGATAATGTACAAAAAGGAGCATGCATTTGGACAGACTTATTGCTCCCAAAAGTATAAACTTCAAAACGTAACCTTAAGAAAAACATCAATATATTTTTTGAATGTAACAGAGTTTTGTTTATTGGACATTGCAAAAAATGATATTTATGTATTGACTTGTCGAATAATTGTTGTACTTGATGCTAAAAGTTGTAACTGAAATGGCTTAATTGGAACAGCATCTTTTACAATGTTCCATTATATTACATGGATGGATATTTAGACCTATGTTATAACCTCTATATCTGCAGAAATTGTATATACATCTTTTAGAAATTTTTCTCATATAGAGGGTGTTTGACACCCTTTTTTAAGGAAAAATAAATTTTAGAGTAGTGGATTGATGGAGAATGTGTGGATGAAATTTTTTTTTTTTATTTACATATAATATTATTTTAGTGAAGAATGTGTTGTTGAAAAGAGAGAAAAATGAGAATCAAACAGGGCCATAATTTATAAATATGTGATTTTTTCCCGAAACAATTAGTTACTAGGTATAAGAAGCATAACTTTGTAACCTTGGAATGGAGATAGTTTGTAAACTTTTATCAGTTATTAAGTAATATTAATTTACGACACATTAATTGGGTGTTATTTGAGAAATTGATGGATATATTGAGTTAAAATGGTGGAAACTTGGAATATAATGCTAGAACTACCACTTCTACAACTGAAACTGTAGGGCCATAATGGGAGAAATAGAGAATAAATAGTGTTATTCTTTGACCTGGTGAGAAAATTGAAAAAGACTATACATGGTGTTTGATTAATCAAAGTGCTTTCTATGGATTACGATGTATTTTATGGTCTGATGCTGACAAAGAACATTAGAGATTGAGCATTCGGGACCCAGGGTCTGAAGTAATATGGGGTCAACGGGCAGTAATTGCCACCACCTAAATGTTTGTTATCAGGACTCACAAAAAGAGAAAGTTCTAAACCTATTGGAATTGGACAAAGAAGTTACATCATCAGCTTTACTGAAAAAAGTAAATCTACAGGAATGGCAATAGCGTTGTCTGGATATTTCAAACTTTATTTTGATACGAAAGACCTGTATAACAGGTCCTGATGGACGCATGATCTTGAGCAAAAGCCTGCACATTACTCCGCAAGGCTTATTGAGGAAGGGGAGGACGTATAATTTCCTCTACAGAGAAAAAGCTCCAAGGGTGCAAATCTTGTTGACTATTCAACTGAACAAGGCTATATACTTCTTTATGACATACATATAACTTATTTTTATTTTAATATTCTGTAACCACTGCGTGAAAGTTCTCTTTTTTTCCATCTCTGTTGTGATTTTGTGAAACCAGTAATTCATTGTGTCAGTGGTATAACCATATGGATAATATTTATGCTAATATACTGTTTAACCTCGAGAAGCATGTCGCTTACTGTATAATTTGTTCTGCATGCTAAAAATGTGCAGTTCAAGGTATCTGAATCAGGCCTTCCACTGCCCCCAACAGGCATGGCTGCCCATGCTGTTGATGAAGATGTAGAAGTCGTTGAAACGGAGGAAAAGGCCCACGTGGTTGCAGCTGCTTCTGCTGGAGCCGGGCCAGAAGTTGCACCTAAGATCCCGCGCTTACCATTTCTGCCGCCGCCGCCGCCGCCACCGCCACCTCTGATCCCGCAGAATGTTTATATACAGGTTAATTTTAATTCAAAACATCAATGCGTAAGAATGCTGTTGGCGACCTATTATAGTGAAGTTTCTTTTTACCCAGTCCCACTTTATTTTGTTTCATTTTGATCACCAAAGCTACCAAATTGTGTTAGATACTCCACCGAGATCATTACCGTTAGTATTTTTAACTGTGGGTGATGACAGCTTGATGACATTGTTGCAACCTTAAATTCATACATTTGCAAGCAACAACGAAAACAAGTTGAATCTAACTGGCGGTCCATTGGTAAACATGTTTCTGACATGCAGTTGACCCTTCATAGTGTTAAATTGTGTTTTTCAATCCTAAAATGTTCAGTGGAATGCAACTTTCACAAGTGAATTACAAGTTCTGATTTGGCTTGCAAGCATGTGAATTCAACCTTAAGGGGCTGCCACGTCATTAAACCCATCATTCATGTAAGATTGGCTTGTTAAAATGACAGAGGAGTGCCACTGATGATGTAACTGAGCCAAATTGGTAATTTTGCTAGTGAATTTGGCACAGAATTAAGATGAGTGACTAAATGAAACTGCATTATACGTTGGGTGTCCCCATCGGTTTTTTTGATCCTTTCTGTACACATTTTCCCGAATGTTCTTGTTGAGGACCTGACTAAAATCAATTCTTGTAGTGTTTCACTTGGTTGACAATATCAATGGAAATGCATGCAAGACAATCGTGTTATGGATATACCTTAAAATACACTTCATGAGCAAAAGATTAGGTGAATCTATGACGAAATATGATTCTTGATATGTGATCGCTCTTTTAAGATTGCATTCTGAAGCTGCTGTATAATTTGATCTGAAATGATAAAATTGTTTTAATTGCAGTACAAGGGAGATGATGAGAATGTAGATATCGATGGACCTGACGAGGAGATGGTAGAAGTGGATATTGTTTGATGTCATTGTTATGCATTTTTATATGATGGTAAATGTATATTTTTGGTAACAAGTAGAACTAGGGATTTCAGTCTATATAAAGACTTACAGGGACAGAGAGATACCTCGTCTTATCAGCACATCAAGTTTCACGTAGTCGTTTATTATGTCAATTTATATATCGTACTAGTTTGTATTCAAAAGAAAATTACACTTCAATGCCTACATCTTAGCTTATTATGTGGGGCGGTGGCACTCGGGAGAAAGATTTGTACAGCATGCAATTGGTGGATTACTGGATAGGACAACAGGCCTGAGTGAACTCAAATCTGTTTGAGAAATGCAGAGGCTTCACACTGACCATGAACAATGGCAGGGTGTTATGTATATTTCAAGCTCTGGTTTGAACTTTGCCTCTTTATGCCGAGTAGTTATGCTGAAATTTATCAGTCTGTTGGATAACTCTGCTTCTGAGAGCCAGGTTACGTAGATTTTTTAAGGTATTTCGGAGTTGTATCCTTATAGAATTTCCCCTGGTACGTGTTTACTATTGAGAAATTTTCATAGAAGGGGAGCGCAGCATAGCCAGAGTGCTCTACTGGCGTATGTTTCAGGGTGCACTCGTCAAGGTACAATTAGTTCTACAAATCTGAAATTGAAAAAACTGGGTTTCGTTTCTACAATTCCATTCCTAATCGAAATTCAATTCTATCACTATGCATTAATTTCCAAATGTCTTTGGCTTGAAATTCTTGACCATGGTTTGTCAATTCTGAGCTCATAAAAATTGGATACAATCGATCTAAATCTAAATGGTTCTACAATCGGTCTAGTTGTCCCAATCTGATCCCAGCTTGGCGGGACTAGCTAATTCAGGCCTGTTTTGGCTGATCAACGTTCGACCCAGAAAAATCACGTTTATGCGAAGGAGAAATTGATGTGAATGACACAAATAGGGAAGATGTTGGTTGGTAAAGAAGCAACCTATGTTAGAACGCACAAACACAGCTTGTTTATGAATGCAAGTAGGGTCAATACACATGGGCAATTCAAGAACCATTTCGTAACCAGGAAAACGTTATGATTCTTAGGAATCCAAACACCCGAAAATAATCATTTCATCAACGTATCTCTCCTGCAGAATGTTTCAAGTTGTTTGCATAGGCTGGGCAAGTCAATTATCTCAAAATTTCATCAACTAAGATCAAATGAAGGAGCTAAAGATCCTTGATTCTTATGTAAACCTTGACGTCTAACATCTATAGGTAAAACAAATATCTTACTATACACCATCTCCTTAATAGCTGCAAAATGTTTGTCTTGTTCGTGGATCTGTGAAGTATAGATCCAATTCTCATCTATGATCCTTCCTCAGAACATCGGGGGCATAAACATAGGAAACCATAATCTTCAAGTAAAGCCCGTCTCTCTTCATAGGGAAGGTCCTCGTCTATGTATGATATTGTTATCTGTCAAAAATGCAAATGCTTGAAATACCAAAATACAAGAGGTGTCATATTGATATAAATCACAAGATGGCATAGAACTTCATACAACCAAGTCTGATTTTTTGAAAATAATAATTCAAATGACTAATTACCTCTTCTCCTTTGGAAATCGGTTTAAGAGCAATTATGGTTGCTTGGCCATCCCGGTCCTAATTAAACAAGAACACCACCATAATGTTGTCTAAAAGAACACAACAATATAATGAGTGAGTAGAAAAGGCAAAGAAGAATTCTCACAAACATACCTCTTCTCGTTTAAATGCTTTAGCATTAGGAATACAAGAATGATTCATACAACTCTGCAGAGGGAAAAAGGCAGTGCCTGATGCAAAAAATAGACAGTCAACTTAATACTCTGTTGCTTCCACAACAGGCAGACCCCAAAATAACACCACTTTGGGTGGGGATGAAAAGTATTCATTAAGGAGCCAAATATTAAAAAAGCATCACATACAAACGGCTTAAAAAAAATTGAATCAGAAAACTTATGCTAAAAGATTGCATGAGATGCTTAGAAACATTTGTAAACAATTTGCAACATATTTTGAGAAACAAAAAATGCCTTAATACCCAAAAAAAAAAATTGTAGAAATAAAATTTAATAGCAATCAAATTAATCTCTGAGTGTTCATTAATACTGACAAGTTCAGTACTGATTTATTTTTCACTTTATTTCACACAGTGGTTCAATCTTCAAACATGAAATCAAAAAGCATCAATTGTAAGTTTATATAAAGATGCTTACCTTGACAACAAATTGAATAGTCATCACCAAGAGCATCAAGAACAGGTTTTGTAATTTTCTCAGCTTCTTTCTGCCATGAATTTAACAAATAATAATAATAATAAGATATGTGTAACAGCCCCGAAATGTCCAAGGATGTGCTAACCTTTTCTGAGAATGGAAGATCATCAATATACAAGAAGTAATCCTCCACTGGAGAAGCTACGACCAAATCACTATCATGTGGAAGAGTTTTGGTTACCATGTAAATGTCATAACAATGATTAATCTTCATACAAATAATGTTTTTAACTGCATTAATTTAGAGTATAAGGCTTAGAAGGACAAACTTACAGGTTATTTAGCTCAAACATGCCAATTATATGACCATAGATTTCAAGTGAAAATACTTTGGAGAAGTCAAGGACATCAATTTATGAACCAAACATGCACATCTGGTTTAAAAAAAGAAAAAAAAAAGGTTGCTACCAATTCAGCACTGGTTAGGATACACGGCTCACATTCCTTGTCATACATGGCTTCCTTCAGGATCTCCAGTGACTGAAAAATGCAAAACGAGTCATTAGATTCAAAATATATGATAAAAGATAAATTTACAAAGCAACAGATGGTTAAGCCCCTGTTTGGCTCCCAATATTTTAAAACTAATTTTCCCCAAATTCATTTTCAACCATACATTTCATAGGACATACAACTTTTATCAACTTTCCAACCACATATTTTATCGAATTTTATCAGCTGAGATGCACCGACATGCTGTCGGTGTTAGCGTACCGGTGTTTGACATGTCTCCGACTCGTCGTCAACACGTGTCGGAAGTCCCTTGCGGCGTGTTAGAGTTGAAGAAGAAATGAACTCAACGGCTGAAAACAGTAAGCAAAATCTGAGGCTGCCGCGCTCATGAAGAATAAATGCAGAGATGGCTGGAAGAAGTGCAGAAACGGCTCAGGAGGAAGAAGAAATGCAGAGATGCTGAGGAAGAAGAAAGAAATGTAGAAGAGGAAATGAAGAGACACTTGCAGAGATGCTGAGGAAGAAGAAGAAATGTAGAAGAGGAAATGAAGAGGCACATGTTTGGACTTTGGGCAATACACCATATTATTGAAATCCACTATTCAAGTCATATGTGTTGGACCCAAAACATTAAATAGTCTGCAAAATTTACTTTTTCTATAACTATTTAATTGGTTTTCTTTTCAATTTTACCCTGAACAAACCAAACATTTATTTTTTATCATTTTACCCCGGTAAAAAATAACACTTAAAAAGGATGTCAAATCTTCAATTCCTTTCTTTGAAATGGTAATACGCAAAAATTGCAAAAAATTTATTACTTAAAACTATTAAATTAAAAATATAATATTTTAATCAACGTGTCGACTACGTATCGTGCCGAAAATTTTTCGAAAAATCACAAGTCGACGTGTTCGACACGTATCATGTCCGACACTCGTATCTGTGTCGGTGCTTCTTAGTTTATCAGAATCCTCTAAGAATTTGATTTTAGCCAAACCAAACAGGGGCTAAATTAGATATATTGTTCCCTTGCTTACATCCGCGTATGTTGGGTTCAAGTTCTCAAAATAAACTATCCAAGGAAGTAATGCTACATTTCACTATCTTTAACAATGGATTATTACATTTAAAACCTAAGAAGTACCGATACTTGTAAATTTATTATGTATCCGATACGTATCCAAACTCCGATACTTTTCAATACCCTTCGATACGTACCAGATTTTTTTTTAATTATTTTATATATTTTTATATTTTTTAATTTTCTATATGCATCCGATACGTATTTTTAATTATTTTATATTTTTGTATAATTTTCGATACGTATCCAACGCTTCACGGTTTACATGTACCTTTACTATAAAACGTTACTTTGAAACTTTTTGTTCAACATTCTTCTTCATCTAGTGCTAAAAGAAAGTGAATATGTACTCTTTTGAGCATTTTACAAGAAAGAATAAAATAACTCTATAACTAGTTAAAAAATTGATCTATATTCATAGCAATTTGTGTATTTTATTAAGAAAATTAAATCTCTATTCAAAAGGAGAATCTAAAATGTGGGTTATTGCCGGAGGTTCATTTGATACTCTTGAAAGTGTTGGACCGTTTGAAATTGCTAATCTATCATTAGATGAGTCAGAATTGGAGAATGTTATTTTTAATAATAATGAAGAAATTGATGTCGATGATGTTGAAAAAAATGAAGTTTCGACAATTATTGATTAAGATAAAGAGTTTTAGTATTTTATTTTATTTTTATTATCATGCTTTTGTATTAATTTCTTTATATTAATAAAATTATATTGAATTTTATAATACGTACTAACGTATCCTAACTTTTTCAAAAAAAATCGTATCTATGTATCCATATCATATCGTATTCGAATTACGTACCCGTATCCGTGCTTCTTGGTTTAGAAGTGCACCTCTCTATTTTCAGCCCATATTAGCTTAGATTTTCAACTTCTCAGACCACTATAACAATTGAGAATTGCACTTTCTTATCAGAAGAGGGGGACCCCGCTAAGCAGAGGAGTTGCAATCTTCCATTCATCAGCAAATTTGTTGTTTCTAAGTTCCTCGCATACAATATAAATTCATGAAGACCTATGAGAATTTTTAACATTGTGTGTCATTTTAGCCTTTTTTTTTGTCTTCCAGTAATTTCTACTCTACTCTTATTACAAACTCAGAAGCTCCATGATAATTCTTGATTCCTCATGCAGAGCATGTTTGTGGCTGACAGACCTGTATTAGAAGTGTAGGTGGTGAGTTTATTGGTGATGAACTTTGTTCAAATTTGAGGTGGCAGCAGCGCAGTAGTTCGACATTGGTGGGTGTGTTTGTGGCAGAAAAAGGGTTGTGTTGGTTGTCGAGATGATTCGTTGTAGGTTGAAAAAGGTTGATCAGGTTTATAGATGACTTGTGGTAGGAAAGTCCCTGTGATCCCAGATTCTGGTTTTGAAATATTGAAGGATGGTTCGATCGGAGATTGGCAGGTCATATCCTGGTTGCCAGTGGTGGATTTGGTTGGTGGGTTCTGGATTTTTTCATGGTACATTTGCAGTGAGTTTTGAAGGTGGCACTTTTTGTCTTTACTGGAGTGAGAGCGAGGAGCAAGTCTTGATACCATTTTGTGGAGGCTAAAAAGGATCACACATTTTTTCTACACTAGGCTAAAAAAAAAGTGTAGAATTTTTTTTTTTTTTTTAGCCAAGTGCAGAAAAAAGTTGTGCCCAGTGTGGGCTACCAATTTAGGTCGGAAGGTTCAAATTAATGTTACAATACTTGAACATGAGTAAAGATACTGGAATCAGGTTCTAACTGCATCTTTTATGGAGCAATTCCAATGAACTTTTCCATGCAGCAGATTAAGGACACATCATTCAACAAATACAGAATTTCCTCTGGAATAAACATTTGCTGCCATGAGGAAATTAGTAGCTGTGATAGTTGAATGCAATGAGAATGAGATACGATTTCAACAAGAGGCTGTAAGGTGAGTTGCTGACTGCTACGAGTGCCATTCCAATGGATTATTCAGATACACACAATAAGATGTTTATCAAATGACTATGACTGAATTAGATCCCCAAATAAATTAAAAATATGTATATTGTACCCAAATATCAATTTGGGATAAAATTCAGTTCTATCTTGTTTGACTAGTCAGAAAATGGTAAAGAGCCCTGTACTTGTTTTGTTTATTATAGTAGATGTGCTTGGTCAGGTAGGCTAAAGATGAGGTATAGAGAAAGAAGTTTTGGGTTCAATCGCTTGAACATTACTAGGCATTTCCGAATTAGAGCTTGAAGAACATTTCGGCAAAGAGACTGCCCAAGTCTGCCAAGATATAGGCTTCTAGGGTTTAATGTAATATCTTCTCCTGGTATAGGGTTGTTTCCATTGTTTTACAATTTTGCATCATTTCAGAATCTCTTTATATATATACACTTCACTGGTTATGCTTTCCTTGTCAATTCTGACGATGGAAGGATCATGTGTCTTTGTTCGGAGACAGCTGCTTGGGGGTCATATCTTCATTACTTTATAAATACTAATGGCAACCAGTGAGTAGGATAATAATCCTAGCAAAAAGAGAAATTATTCAGCAATTTACGACCCCTCCTGTCGGATTAAAAGCTTTGTTTTTGCTGGAAAATGAGATGGCATCTTATCTGCCTGTCTTTCAGCCAGATCTAGTCATACTTGCGATAGACGATTTCTAAACATCAGGTAAAACCAATATGGTAATCAGGACATGGTGACAAATGTCAGACATGCTAAAATGATTTGAGTAGATGAAATGAGGAATATAAAGCTTTAAGAGAGAATTCATGGCTAAAAGAAGCAATTAATAATGCATCCAAAAAGACAAGAAAGTCAGTTCCAGCAATATGGAAGACTCGACAAGTAGCATCCTAAAAGCACAAGCAGATGTCACTCAATTTTAGAGGAAAATCTAAGCCTTATGCTTCAACAGTTAGTAATGGAAAAGAGTATAAAAGCTACTGTAAAATCATTCTCAAATGATGTCGGCCATCTGTAATTTTAGAATCACACATGCTTGGGAAAAGCTAATAGTAATAGCAAACATCAGAGCAAAGAGATTATTTAAAAAACTGTGAACAGTTCAATTGGACCGTAGGGTTAACACTCCTGGCCAGACATCATTGATCTTAAATTCGAGACCCAGAGGATATCGAGGAATATTTTATGAAATTCTTATGATGTAGATCACTGCAATAACACTAGAAGTAAACAAATGAGAAAGAGAGGCTTAGAAAGTACACAATGATCATTCTGTGGAAGGAATTGATAGAAGTGCCTGATTTTCACGGAAAGATGAGTCCGGGATTTTTGTTGATTGGTTATCTAGTATTGATCATTTATTTGCTAGGCATAAATTGACTGAAAGACGAAAAATGTGGTGGTGCTAAACTGAGTGTGTAGAAAATAAACTGTGGGTTACAATTCTAGAGACAAGACAGCAAATGCGGAAGGGGTGCCTTGTAAACAAGAGAGGAAATGCAAATTCTTTTAGAAAACTTATACTTAAGCTAAACAGATCACCTTCTTCTTATTTAAGATGCATCTATTTGGGAGTTACCGTGAATGCCAGGTCCCTTATTTGCATTCTGAACATAGCTTCATCACAAGAGTCAACATCTTCTGGCAGAGCAATGCAGTCCCACCACCTAAGACAAATTAAAATGTATTTAAAACATATTTTATATCATTGGAGCAGCATGCAGAGTAAGGGTGACTTCATGATTATTGATGGAGTTACTGATGAGGACATCGGACGTTACTTATTTTGTTTAAGCTTTATTTATACTTTATTTATCTTTTGGATTATTATTTAAGATTTGGACTTGTATGGGCTCGGGCCCAAGCTCGGTAGGGTTGCTTAACTATTTAAACTTATTTTACATTATAATTTTCAGTTGATGATGAATGAATATTTTTGGTGGTTTATGGCGTTTTTCTCTTTTCCTGTTTTCTTTCTTCTCTTCTGTTGAATTTCAATCCCTCTCCTCTCTAATTCTCCTTCCCCATAGATCTGTTCTATTTCTCAATTCACTGTCCCGTTGGTGCTGCATCAAATTTGGTATCAGAGCCGAATCTTGATAATTTCTCGTACTCAACCCACAATTTCTTCGTATCTTCTTCCCATAATCTGTTGAAACAGTACAAATTAAAAGGATTTTTGGCAAAGATAGCAATTTAGACTTAGTTGGAAAAAAAAAAGTTACTGTTCACGCCCGAAATTTCAAATTTTAGATTTTTCTACAGTCTATTACAAAAAAAAAAAATAATAATAATAATAATAATAATAAAATTCCTATTTTTTTGGTGCGGCTGTTGCTAGTTACATTGCTTTTCTAACAATTTCAACCTACTTCCAATTTCCCCAAAAGCCCACTAATAACACCAATCTATCATACAAATTATTTAGCCCAACACCCACATTAGCCCATTACAGAAATCGCCGGCCCAACTCACAATACCCGGCCAATACCATAACACTCATCTCCACCCGGCCCAACCCAACCCCTATCTCACTACTCAAATCAATTTCACAACTTGAGCCCTAACTCCTCATCCCGTCACTCTCCACGACCAGTAGCTCACCCCGTCAATACCCACGACCAACAGCACAACCGGCATCACCGACGCCTCTCGCCACCAATCTTCTCCGGCCACACTCAATCGCTGAACCACCGTCTTCGATCACACTCAATCCGTCTCCTCCCCTCGTCTATTCAGTCCATAAGCCACTGCCACCACCTCCTTCAATTCAGTTGCCACCATCATCCAATCCAACTGCGAGATTGCCTTCGCAGCAGACCGCCGCACCTTCTGCAACAACACCCGCGTCGGCTTCATCTTCTTTCTTCTCTGACCCTGCTGCGCTGGCGACCCCATTCTTCTACTGCCACCACCTTCCACCACACAAAATATTCCCATACACTGCCACACTTGTCGCCACCACCACAACTATAATTCACTTCACACACCACTAATCTATCATTCACATACCACCGTCATAGCAGCCGCCAACACATCACACAATCAATTTGAAGCCACTGTTCAGGGAGTCAACGGAATCAGAGACACGTTATTGGGAACTTGGTTGCTATCTGTGACTCGTACCACATTTGGTACGAGTCACAATTTAGCAGGAGGGTGTTCTAAGGTTTGAAGGAAACTGCAGCGAGGGGTAATACAGAAACATACTTGGAGCCTCACACGAGTTGACAAATTCTGATCAATCAGAGTACAAAAGGGGCACAACCGAACTCAAGGAGTCACTGCTCTTATCTATTTTAGTTTCCACTGTTGCTTTATTTAGAATTGCATCAATTATTTCTTTGTGTTGCTAATACTTTGGAAATTTGATCCTTAAACCTACTTGATTGGATTTCGCGAACTATTTCCCATTGTTCACCCGTTACCCCACGTGACTAGGCCTATCATTTGGACCACTTGCCTTTATTTTATTCGCATTAGTATTATTGGCTTGCTAAGATCGGACCTTACGTAACCCAAATTTTCATAAACATGAACAAAAAATATATATATAAATAAATAAATAAATAAATAAGAATAAACAAAATACACAAAATAAAAAATTTTCAGATTGCGAATCTACTTTTGGTCCTCGTTTATTGATCTCTATAGCGCACCTCACGTAGCTAGTGTTACTGTGTATGCAATTGCGTAGTGGTCGTGTTACTGCGTCTAGTGCTAGTACATTTGCCATGGACCCTTCCCACATTGAAGCTGTCACCCGACAGTTGGCACAATTACAGAATCAATTAACGGCTGTCCAAACTAAGATAGCCGCTACTCGTGAAGAAAATAGAGCCCTATCCGTTAGGTTGAACACTCTTGACCCAATCCAATACTCAACTGAAGCTGAAAACTCTAACGCTTCCATTAATAGACCTCACCGTCGTCCACAATGTGGTCGACACCACGCTAGACATGATCGTAGGGAGGGAAATCAAGCTCGTGGACGCGAGCGGGAATATCACCGTCATGGTACACTATCTCCCCCTCGCCACGATGAGCGCCTCTTTCGAAATATTAAGTTAGATGCCCCTACATTTGATGGTTGTCTAGATCCTAGTGTATTCAATCAATGGGTTAGATCTATAGCGCACCTCACGTAGCTAGTGTTACTGTGTATACAATTGCATAGTGGTTGTGTTACTGCGTCTAGTGCTAGTACCCTTGCCATGGATCCTTCCCACATTGAAGTTATCACCCGACAGTTGGCACAATTACAGAATCAATTAACGGCTGTTCAAACTGAGGTAGCCGCTACTCGTGAAGAAAATAGAGTCCTATCCGCGAGGTTGAACACTCTTAACCCAACCCAATACTCAACTGAAGCTGAAAACTCTGACGCTTCCATTAATAGACCTCACCGTCGTCCACAAGGTGGTCGACACCACGCTAGACATGATCGTGGGGAGGGAAATCAAGCTCGTGGACGCGAGCGGGAATATCACCGTCATGGTACACTATCTCCCCTCGCCACGATGAGCGCCTCTTTTGAAATATTAAGTTAAATGCCCCTACATTTGATGGTTGTCTAGATCTTAGCGTATTCAATCAATGGGTTACAGATATGGATCGCTTCTTTACCTGGTATGGGTCCTTGAAGATCGGAGGGTACAATTTGCCAGTTTGAAATTAACTGGCACAACTCAACTCTTTTAGGAAAGTGTTAAGGACCTCCTAGAGAGGCGCCATGCTCCCCTTGTTGGGAGTTGGGATGAAATGAAGTGTCGCCTTCAAGAAAAATATTTACCTCAATCTTATAGGGGTAACTTGCTGGATCAATGGAACGCATTTACACAAGATAGTCGGCCTGTGACCGAATATGTTGCTCAGTTTGATGAGTTTCGAATGAAATATCAGGTCGTTGAGGATGAGGTCATGACTTTGAGTAGGTTTAGGCAAGGCCTAAGAGACGAACTTAGGCGTGAGCTTGTCCTTCGAGGCGTCACCACTCTTAACCACGCCTACTCTTTCGTTCGTGATTACGAGTTAGTGATTAGGACACCATACAGAAATCGTAGTGACTCCCGCACTGCGACATCTTCTGCATCCACTCCATCCCCTAAGTCTATTCTAGGACTTCCTCCTTCTAATACTACCCCTACATCGGATAGCAAAGGTAGAGGTTCTGAGGTTTCAAGAATGGTATCTCGTTTGCAATGCTTCAACTGTAAGGGTTTTGGTCACATTGCTTCTAAGTGTCCTAGCCGAGCCCTAGTTTTGGAAGAGCGTGAAAGTATAGTTGACGAGCCGCTAGAGGACTAGGTTTATGAGCCTAAGCTAGAAGAGTTTGATGACTTGGAGGATAGTGAGGATACCTTCTTAGGTTGTATTCAGGCTCGTGCCCTTATCCCACATACGCTTAGAGATGGTGTCGTCCGTTGCACTTTTACCCAGCCTAAGGATGCCAATGATTGGCGTCGTCATGCCATCTTCCATGCTTACATCAAGATTAATAATAAGGGCTGTAAAGTTATCGTGGATAATGGCAGCTGCATTAATGTGGTCTCGATGGCTACTGTATCCCGTCAGGGTTGAAGTCTGTTCCTCACCCTCAGCCATACAACGTCTCTTGGGTTGATACCTCCTCTATAGCTATCAAGAAGCGTTGTTTAGTCCTTATCCAGTTTCTCGAATATAAGGACCATATATGGTGTGACGTCATTTCAATGGATGTCGGGCACATCATCTTGGGACAACCTTGGTTATTTGACCTAGATGTAACCATCTATGGTCAATCCAATTCTTGCTCCTTCGTGTTTAATGGAAAAAAGATTCACCTTAACCCACTGCCCCCCAAAGCCTGTTGGTCCACTGGAAACGAAGAAGAGTGTGGAATGAAAGGGATTGCATATCATTAGTCCTACGGAGTTTGAGTGTACACTTGTTGGTGACTCAGTTGTGTTCGCTTTGATGGTCATGGAGGTTTCATCCCAGTCCACAATAGAGAGCCCTGTTGAAGTCCAGTCGATCCTCTAAGAGTTTTGAGATGTCTTTCCAGAGGACCTACCTGATCATCTACCTCCTCTACGGGATATTCAACATGCCATAGATTTCGTCCCAGGGGCATCCCTCCCGAATTTGCCTCATTATAGGATGAATCCTACCGAGCACGCTGAACTTCAAAAGCAAGTGGATGACCTCCTTCAAAAAGGATTTATTCGTGAGAGTTTAAGCCCGTGTGCTAACCCTGCCCCATTGACGCTCAAAAAGGATGGTTCTTGGAGGATGTGTATGGATAGTCGCGCGATCAATAAGATCACGGTGAAGTATCGTTTTCCTATTCCTAGACTTGACGATATGTTAGATATGATAGTTGGTGCCACAATCTTTTTGAAGATTGATCTGAAGAGTGGATACCATCATATTCGAATTCGCCCAGGTGATGAGTGGAAGACCGCGTTTAAAACGAAAGATGGTCTTTATGAATGGCTGGTCATACCTTTTGGACTAAGTAATGCGCCAAGTACCTTTATGCGTGTAATGACACAAACTCTCCGACCTTTTATGGGAAAGTTTCTTATTGTTTACTTTGATGATATCCTCATCTATAGTAAGACTAAGGAGCTACACCTTGACCACCTCACACAAGTTTGTTCTACCATTCGTGCAACTAATCTATATGCTAACGTCAAGAAGTGCTCTTTCTTCACCGATACAGTCGTTTTTCTGGGGTTCATTGTCTCTTCGACAGGGGTATCTGCTGACCCTGCTAAGGTTCAGGCGATTATTGACTGGCCTGAACCTAAAGCTATTCATGACGTCAGGAGCTTTCACGGCTTAGCTATATTTTACCGTCGCTTTATTAAGGGGTTTAGCACTATTATGGCGCCTATTACGGAGTGCATGAAGAAAGGGGAGTTTCATTGGACACAAGAGGCTGCTAAGGCCTTTAAGTTGGTCAAGAAGCGAATGGCAGAAGCTCCTATCATGCGTCTTCCAAACTTTTCCAAAGTCTTGAGGTCGAGTGTGATGCTTCTAGGGTAGCTATAGGCGGACTATTGAATCAGGATCACCACCTTGTTGCTTACTTCAGTGAGAAGTTAAATGAAGCGAAACAATGGTACTCGACCTATGATAAGGAATTGTATGCGGTTGCCCAGGCTTTGCGCTATTGGCGCCACTATTTGTTGCCCCAGGAGTTTGTTCTTTATTCGGACCACGAGGCCCTCAGTTACCTCAACTCCAAGAAAAGATTGAGCTCTAGGTATAGTCGTTGGATTGAATATTTGTAGGCCTATTCATTTGTTTTAAAACATAAGAAGGGGGTGGAGAACCAAGCAGCTGATGCTTTAAGTCGTCATGTCTCCCTTTTGTCGATCATGAGCGTCAAGGTCATCGGTTTTAAAAGGCTTAAGAAGGATTACGAGACGTGTCCCGATTTTAAGGATATCTTTCTCTAATCTATATGCTAACGTCAAGAAGTGCTCTTTCTTCACCGATACAGTCGTTTTTCTGGGGTTCATTGTCTCTTCGACAGGGGTATCTGCTGACCCTGCTAAGGTTCAGGCGATTATTGACTGGCCTGAACCTAAAGCTATTCATGACGTCAGGAGCTTTCACGGCTTAGCTATATTTTACCGTCGCTTTATTAAGGGGTTTAGCACTATTATGGCGCCTATTACGGAGTGCATGAAGAAAGGGGAGTTTCATTGGACACAAGAAGCGGCTAAGGCCTTTAAGTTGATCAAGAGGCGAATGATGGAGGCTCCTGTCATGCGTCTCCCCGACTTTTCCAAAGTCTTTGAAGTTGAATGCGATGCCTCCGGGGTAGGTATAGGCGGAGTCTTGGGTCAGGAGTGTCACTCTGTTGCCTACTTCAGCGAGAAGTTAAATGAGGCCAAACAATGGTACTCGACTTATGATAAGAAACTGTATGCGGTGGTCCAGGCTTTGCGCTATTGGCGCCACTATTTGTTGCCTCAGGAATTTGTCCTTTATTCGGACCACGAGACCCTACGTTACCTCAACTCTCAGAAAAGATTAAGCTCTAGCCATGGTCGTTGGATTGAATATTTACAGGCTTATTCATTTGTTCTAAAACACAAGAAGGGCGTAGAGAACCAAACAGCTGATGCTTTAAGTAGTCGTGTCTCCCTTTTGTCGATCATGAGTGTCCAGGTCATCGATTTTCAAAGGCTCAAGGAGGACTACGAGGCATGTCCCGATTTTAAGGATATCTTTCTCGATTTGCAAAAAAGACAATCACACACCACGGATGGCTTTCGACTTGAGGAGGGTTATCTCTTTCGAGCCAATAAATTGTGCATCCCTCGAACTTCAGTACGAGATTTCATCGTGTGGAAAATTCATGCGGGAGGGTTAGCCGGTCACTTTGGACGTGATAAGACCATCGAAGAAGTTGAACGTCAATTCTATTTGCCTACCTTGAAGAAAGACGTGGCTAAGATTGTTAGTACTTGTAACACTTGTCAATCAAGTAAACAGAAAAAGCAGAACACAGGTTAATACACCCCTCTTCCCGTCCCCAATTGTCCTTGGCAAGACGTTAGTATGGATTTTGTATGAGGCCTTCCACACACCCCAAAGAAACATGATTCTATATTTGTGGTTGTCGACCGTTTTTCGAAAATGGCTCATTTTTCCCCTGTAGCAAAACCTCATATGCGTCTAAAGTAGCTATGTTGTTTTTTAATGAGATTGTTAAATTGTATGGACTTCCTAAGACCATTGTGTCCGATAGTGATGTTCGTTTCACTAACCATTTTTGGAGGACTTTGTGGCAAAAGATGGGTACCAAATTGAAATTTTCCACGACCTACCACCCTCAGACTGACAGTCAAACTGAAGTAGTTAATACAAATCTTGATAACCTATTGCGTTTGGTTCGGGAAAATCTTCGGAATCGGGATTTGATCCTTCCTGTAGCTCAAATTGCGTATAATAGTTCCATGTCCATTTAAAGCCGTTCATGGGTACAAGCCTAGGAAACCGTTAGATCTCATTCCTATGTCCCCACAGGCTAGAGTGTCAGTGTCAGCCGAAGCATTTGCACAAAATCTTCGTGATTTGCATATTGAGATCAATAAACAACTTGAAACTAGTAATGCACAAATATAAACTCCAAGCTGATTTGCATAAACGACATATTGAGTTTCACGTTGGGGATTATGTTATGGTCCGCATTAGGCCAGAACGGCGTCTACATGGACCGCCTCCAAATTGCAACCTCGTAGTGCTGGTCCTTTTAAAATTTTAAAGCAAATTGGTCCAAATGCCTATGTTGTTGATATTCCACCACATCTTGGTTACCATTCTACTTTCAATGTTGAGGACCTAGTAGCTTATAAAGGTCATTTCATTCCCTCAGATGACCCTTTGTTACCTCCTTTTGTGGACCTTGATCCCGACTATTTGGCCACTTCGGACCCCTACCACCTCTCACAGCACACACAGATAAAATTGATGTCATTTTAGATGAAAAAACTGTGTTTACTAATGATGGAGAGGTTCAGCACTTTCTCGTTCGTTGAGTTGGTCGACCAAATTCTGATTGTAAATGGTCTCCCGAGAGACACTACAGCAATTGGATCTAGATTTATTGGAGTTTTATCGGAATCAGCAGGATCTTCCTTGGCCTAGATCGCCTCCCGTTCACCCAAGGGGAATTGGTGAGAACACCAGGTTCAGACCTACATTGACACATTTTTACAGACGTCGGAAGAAACTTGCCCAACCACTCAACTTATGGTTGGGAGATTGATGACAGCCTAGAGTGATATATCCACTCGACAGAGTCGAGTTTTCTCCCACCCCGGAAGAGTTGATGAAGACATCGGACGTTACTTATTTTATTTACGCTTTATTTATGCTTTATTTATCTTTTGGACTATTATTTAAGATTTGGACTTGTATGTGCTCGGGCCCAAACTCGTTAGGGTTGCTTAACTATTTAAACTTATTTTACATTATAATTTTCAGTTGATGATGAATGAATATTTTTGGTGGCTTATGGCGTTTTTCTCTCTTACTGTTTTCTTTCTTCTCTTCTGTTGAATCCCCATCCATTTCTCCTCTCTAATTCTCCCTCCCCATATATCTGTTCTATTTCTCAATTAACTGTCCCGTTGGTGCTGCATCAGCTATCATTTTAGAAAATAACATTTTTTTGCAGAATGATTTTCACATCAGAAAATAAGATGTTCCGTCACTAACTGCGAATAACTATAACGTGACAGTAATAATGTGTAAATAAAAGTTAAATTATTAAACTATCGGAAAAAAGTTGAATGTTATTTATTAAAAAATAATGATCTAATTAATGAATTTTAAAAATAATTTAAAATATTATGTACTAAACCCTTGTTTGATCCCCCCATTATTTTCAAAATATATTTTTCTCTCTTTTTTGCAACCATACATTCTTCTATAAAATAATATTACGCGCAACCCAAAACATATCCTTATTTTTTAAACACACATCCTCCATCAATTTACTATTCCAAATGCATTCTTAGGGGAAAATGGGGCTCTAACAGGCTAATTTAATTATGTCCTTTTCAGTTTTCAGTGATTTGATATATTAACTTTACTTTTCGGCACTACTATGGACATAAGTAATCACTTTACCAAACAGTCAAAAAAATATTATTAATTATAAGAAAAATAAGTTAATTACTTATGGGTCATTATTTTTGGCTCAGTCAAACAAAATTCTAAATAAATTGCTGGTCCAAGATTCAAAACATATTGAGAAAATCCGTTCTATAACTTCTGTTGGATAAGAAAAACATTTTAACCACATTACAGCATTATCTTTATGGAAACATGTTTATTCCATATTTACGAGTAATAGTGTGCCTTGCAAGTTTGGCAAATATATGTTAAAGACCGACCATTTTTATGGTTCATGAGATGTCAAACAAGCATTTAGAAAATCTGAAAGCCTCCAATAATGGAAGAAAAAGAAACGGCAATATTAAGCAAATTAAGATTCCTGTAGACTGATGCAAACGAAACTATAGATTTGGTTGTTTGTATGTTGTGTCCTTTAAAATTTTGAAATAACTAGATTGAATATTATTATTTTTAACACTAATGCTTCTAAATTTGGCAAGACAAGATTCTGTAACTAAAAGAAGCAAAAGAAAAAATTTTCAGGTAAAAATTTTGAATTACCTTCTCTTGTATCCCATAGATACAGGCTTCCATGCTTCTAACAGCAATGGAAAACCATAATTGGTACAAAGATTCATGGAATCGTGTTTCTCGGGATTTTCACACTGTGCAACTTTCAGTTTCCTGTATCTCAGAATGCTAAACGAAATAACCTGAAAATGGTACCCCAGCACTTGACGTTATACCAATAAAGTTGATAACCTTCATGGCAGATTACAATTCTATCTCCATTTATGATTCTCAATGCATAAAATAGAAGAAAACTAATTTATGCACCAAAAATCTTTTTTTTTTTCCTTCAAAATGATGAATTAGCCCACTTGATGCTCTTTTGCATTTCATAGATGTTGCTCTCCCATAGAATAACAATCCCCCACTACAATCAGCCTTGTAACAAATTTGGCTTCATCAAGTCCAAATGATAATTTTCCCAAATGTCACAAGATAATTTTCTGACGCATGAACAATTCGCTTAGCTTCTTTTTCCATGAGTGATTCATGTGCTTGTGCTATATGATTTTCTTATTTTTTTGGATTAATCAGGGAATTCATATTAGCTTTCCTTCAGGTGTTGCTTAGGTGGAGGGGCAACAGAAAATGTCAAAAGGCAAAAGAATGTCATTAATTGCAGATAAATAAATTAAAGGGGATATAGATTATTCTAACAGCACGTTCACCTAACACTAAAAGAGAAAAGTTGTTAATACAACACCAAAAGCCACTTAAATGATGATGAATCCATTTAGCAATGAATAAGATGCCATTTGTTTTACTTTTCCATCCAATCTGCCCGAGCATAGAATCTCTATCATGCTCATCTTTATGTCACAGATTACAAATTTCCTTAGTCGAGGAAAATTTTATTGCTCTCTATTACCAAAAGAGGAATACAAGTTTCTTTCTTAAATATAAGGACTACGTAAATCTTCTTCTAGGCGTTTACTTTTATACTCGTACTCATTTCTCACTAGGTAATGCCTACATTCTCAAAATCTGATTACATTTTTTTCGGGGACCACAACTATTTTATGAAATGGTCATTTCTTTTTCACTAAAAGATAGATGAGTTAGCAAAATGAATCAAGGTGAAATAAGAGTCTGCACCAAAACTATTTAATCTCTTATGATCATGCATGGACAGGAAAAAGGAAACTGAGAACAAGATATTACCTTGGCAGCTAGGATGAAAATGTCATTAGTTTCTGGAAGGAGAAAGCAGTGTAAGCATAAAACGAAAGCAAGATAGAGAAATATAACAGAAACTGCTGGAGGGTAATAAAGTAATTTATAGCTTCACCATTAGCATGTTGAATGAATTTCAGAAGTGCCTTTATATTTGATGATTTTGATCCCTTCCCAGTACAAAGCAAAGAATGGAATGAATCCCAATCAGCCTTGGCACATGATTCGCTATAAAAGATGGATAAAGTGAAAACTTAATGCAATAAAGTTAATTGTTGAATAAAGATTATAAAAAAACATACTGTTAGATGTAACAGTGAAGGAAATTAAATGACAGTCAGTGCATGACATGTAAGACCAATGATTAACACAAGTTGTAAATTTTTTATCTTCTAAATAAATAATATGACATATAATGCAAGCCAATATACTTGCAAACAACTGCTCTGTTCAGAGATAAAATATGTTAAAACCATTACCAAGATATCTTTTTGATGTGAACATTCAGAACTTCAAGTGTGTTTGATTACATTTATTTTCCAAGGAAAATATCAATTTTTCACTCAAATTCCTACTTGGGGTGTTTGATTGCTATTTTTTCCCAAGGAAAACATTTTCCAACTTTTAAAAATATGAATAATTTTACTTGTTTTTAAGGAAAATATTTTCCTTAAGTGGAGGCGGTTTTTGTTTTCCTCAAAATAAGGAAAATATTTTCTTTTCTAATTGATATTTTTCATGCCAATCAAACGCACTCTTAGATACTTTATTGTCTTATTAGCTCGAAGCTTTTGAAAGAGAGAACTTATTTTATTAAGAGGATGGTGCAGCTACTTTATGACCATAATTACTTGTTAAAAGTAATCCAGTCAATGTAGCATCAAGTTTATTCCCACTGAAGCGGATAGAATAAAATTTAATAGAGAACTAACAAATATCAATTAAGGATAGACCTTGAACACATCTACTTACGCTAACTAAGAAAAGGTAACAATGTTTTCTACATATAACAGTCTCTTTTCATAAAAAGAAAATGCATATTCAGATTCCAGAAACTCTTAGCAACTTCGAGTTTCTAGGCTCCAGAATACAAACAAGCTAGAATGTTAACGTGGTTGAAAATTCTCTTTTTCCCCTATGTATACTAAGATAGATATTAGGATATTTCGTCTACCTGCAGTAGTATGCTTCTCTGCATCCACCGGGACATGAAACAACTGAAGGCAGAGGGAACTTCTCAGAGAAAGGTAATCGCATAGAACCATTCATTAATGATTCGATAGTATCTTGAAGGAGAGGACTCCTGTCAATAAAACTACCAGAAGAACATTCTGTTCTATCAGAAGGACCACATTCATTGTCTGCAGAGATGCCTAGCTCTTGCAAATAAAGCTTCTTCCCAATTTGAAGCTCTACCGAGCCAATAAATTGGAAGCAAAAGCTACAAACTAAACAATCAATCTGCAACATTAAGAAAAGTATCTAAAATAGTATCTAAAATAACTAAAAAATGAATCAAGTAAATCATTATGAGGAGTATAGCATAATAACGGTCTCAAGTTGCAAGACCTTATTGGAAGAATGTTGGGCACCAACAAGCATTTGATCCTTCAAAATAAGGTCCCCTTCTATAAAATCAAAATCAGCATAAACTCCTGCAGTTTTTCTAACCCAGATTAAAATTCTCTCGCAAGCATATTAGCAAACGGTTAATATTAAAATCCCACATCAACATCTACTTAACAAGATTAAATTTTTATCCAATTTACCATATTAGTAATAAACAGTTAGCAAAGCCAACGCATAATGTAGTATATATAAACCAAGAATCTAGGTAAATAAAATACCCTTTCCGTGTTCGCCTTCTGGGTTTACTCTAATTCCCTTGCATTTCCTTTCAGCTATAAGCTCTTGGAAATACTCCTGCAAAATTTGCTCAACACATTAATTTCTTCTAATAGCATCAGTTTTCACCGTTTATATGCATAAAAGAGCCCCAAGTGTGTGTGTGTGTGTGTGTGTGTGTGTGTGTATCAATGGAGAGAGAGGTTTGAATGCCTTGACTTGATGAGGAGATGGAGACTTGAGAAGGGTAGAGATTTGGTCCGTATATTGCGAATCAATTGGGCAAACGGAGGCAGCCATTAATTCACCTCACAACAAAGCTCCTCTGCTCGTTCGTTGGTTTACTAGCTAGCGGTGAAGACAATTTTTAACTTAGGCAGGGGTATCAAAAGGCCTGGCCTCTGGTTCGGGATTGGCCCGGGCGCTGCTACATACAATGGCCGGACCGAGGCCCATGGGTGTAGGCCGGCCGGCTCTATGGGAAGTTCAAACGTTAATTGTAAAAATTTAAGGGAAAAATTCACAAATCATGTTTTAACTATGCACAATTCAAAAATCAGGTCTTAAGTTTAACTAATGTAGAAATTAGGTTTTAGCTAATTAATTAAAAATATTTATTAATTAAATATAAACGAAATCACATTTATACGATTAATGATCACATGAACATAATTATAGATCACAACTTATTTATTGGTAATATATTATCAAATTAATTGGTGACAAGAACATAATTATAAGTCACAACTTATTTATTGGTCATATATTATCAAATTAATTGATCACAAATTATGTCGAGATTACAAATCGAAATTTTTTTAGGTCATAATTTATCATTGGTTACAATGCAAAAAGTTATAGATTACATGTCACATATTTTTAAATTTGATAGTCACAGATTATTTTTTTAACTCACAAATAATCGAATTTTAAGATCACAATATACAAATCCAAAAAATTAGGATCGCAGGTCACATATTTTCATATTTGATGGTCACATATTACTTTTTCAAGTTCCAAATGATTGAATTTTAAAATCATAGTTTAATAGTCAGTCACAGGGAATCAAATAGTTGGTCACAGACACCAAACGCTCGATCCCAATCCACCACAATACTTGGTCATAGGCACTATTCCACCTCGCCACAATACCATCACAACCACTGCCAACACCACCATCGCCGCCACCACCACCAACATGAAAACCATCACCACTCCAAAATCGACAAACCTAACAAAAATACCTCAACAATAGCAACTGCACTAAGCCAAGCCGGCTACCCGATTCCCACCACTACCACTCGGCACCACCATCGCATCCACCACCACTCCAAAACCAACAAACATCTAAACACCGTACCAATACGCTTCTACACAAACAAAGGTGGCGATCACACTACCAACACCTACACCCGCAACCCCCACCAATTTATAGCCAACACCTAAAAACAAACACACAACAGATTAAAGTGCCACAGTAGCGGCGATACCTAAAAACAACCACTTTACCTCAAACACCTAGAAACACCACTGTTGTTGCTGCTGCGGCGATTGGAGCGCGGATACTTATCGAAGAGAATAAGCAACACATCCACATTTTCGCCATCCCCAAAACCACATCCACGTCACACCAATGATGAAGGAGTAATGGCGACAGAGATGCTGGAGGCAGTTGATCGAAAGGGTGATTTGGCATATGTACGTTATACCGATGAATGAAGAGGTGAAGGCGATGGAGATGATGGAGGTTATCGATCGAATGGGTAATTCGACATCTATAAATGAAGGGGTAATTTGCACAACATTGACGGACTGAAAAAATTAGTTGGCACCGAAGGTTGGAACCAACATCGCCTGAATAGTTCTCAGACGTCAGGTCCAACTCCTTCGTCGTCGATCACCGGAGTGAAGAGAGAGAGGGAACAAAAAAGAAGATAGATATGAGAGAGAGGTAGAGATAAGAGGGAAAAGAAAATTTATTTAGGGTTTGCATTATATTGATACCTGAGTTGTGATTAATAAAACCTTTTACCTGAATTTTGAGTTGTACTCTTCAATCCCCTTCTTTTATGTAATTTCCACAAAATTTAAACTGAACTTTTTACTAGGCCGCCTCTTTCTTCTAAAAATTTATTTTTTTCAAAATTCATTTTCAACCACAAATGTTTTAATAAAATAATATTACGCGCAAACCTAAAACATTTCTTTAATTTTTAATCACATTCTCCATCAATCACTATTTGAAAATGCAAACTTTCCCTTAGAATGGGGTTCAAACAAGGGCTAGCATTTTCATTATTTTTAACTGTTATTTTTAGGAAAATATTCATATCTCAATCCTTAAGTATAGGCCAATTTAAGAGAAATTCCAAAACTCAGGTGCAACATCTATAATTAAAAAATATTTTATTAATTAAATATATTAAGGTCATAATTAGCTAATTTTTTATCATAGTTACGCACTTATAGGTAATTAGCTAATTTTTTATCATAGTTACGCACTTATAGGTCATAACTTATTTATTTGTCACAAATTATCAAACTAAATTGATTATAAGTTATTCTATTTACTTGTCTATGTATTGTTCCATTCGATCTTTTAGGTCTCGACGATTCTGCTACGATTCTTGATCACAAATAAATTTTTTTATAGATTACAACAAATCACAAATTGTAGAGGCCACAAATTATTAAATTAGTTAGTTACAAGTTATTTCTTAGCGACAAATTACCATTGGTCACAAATTATTGAATTTTTAGAGCACATGATTAAATATTTTGGTCACAAATTAATCAAGAAGTTGGTCACAAATACCAAACACCCCTCACAAATTATTGAATTTTTAGAGCACATGATTAAATATTTTGGTCACAAATTAATCAAGAAGTTGGTCACAAATACCAAACACCCCTCCCCAATCCTACCACCAACATCAATACTTGGTTACAAATCAATCAAATAGTGGTGACAAACGATTAAATAAATGGTTACATATAGGGATGTTAATTGGGCTCGCCAACTCGGACCGCCCGTGGCTCGATCTCGAAAAAGTTCGAGCCGGCTTGTCTAGAGGGAGGCTCGAGCGGAGCCCCATTATGAGGTTTTGGGCCGAGCCTGAGCCGACCAGTATGGCTCGGGATCCGGTCGGCTCAAGCTCAAGCCTTAAAAAAAAGGGGAAGAAATAAGGCGGCTGCCTTTGTTAAGGCAGGTAGTCGAGTGTCATACAAAAAAGAGAAAGAAAGAAAGTAAAAAAAAAAAAAAAAAAAAAGAGAGAGAAAACTCGAGCAGGCTCGGCTCCCTAAGGACCAAGCCTTGTTTCTTTCAGTCAAGCTTTTGCTCGGGCTCGAAAAAAACCCATTTGATCTTACTCGAGTTAAGCGCGAGCCTTGAATTTCGCTCGGCTCGTTGACATGCCTAGTTACATGTACACTCTTCATCCTACTTCCACTCAATCCCACTAGCTGGTCACAATAATTCATATAATTGGTTACAAACATATAAATCCACCACCACACCTCTAAAGTCAAACAGGCAAGAAGACCTAAATTGCCACCATCACCACCTCACAACAATCATAGCCTTCTTCTCCATGGTCAAACCATCACCATCTTCACCCAAAGTTGCCATCGTCTATACCACGCGCAATGGCTGCTTCTCTACAAACACTGCTGCTACAATGACAATTGCGAGCAGCAGCATGCGCAACAACATCAACATCGTTGCGGGTGGCCTCTCTACATAGCTCAATTACAATGATGTCGTTGCGTTGCATTCACAGCATTGCTGTGATCATCATCATCTCCCATCGGTTAAAACATGCTCATAGTGAATAGGGTAGAGAGAGATTGTGCTCCCGATGGTGGCGTTCTCTAGTGACAGTGACAGTGACAGTGATCTATTTGTAAGGTAAGGGTAGAGAGAGAAGGAAGAGGGAAATGACTAAGGTTTTGAATGGGGTGGATGTGTTAGGGTGTGAATAAATCAATTTATGATACAATTATTAATACTAAAATATGGAATTATCACATGTTTTTTGGTTATGTAAACTTTATATATTATTTTTGAATTACCATCGTTAAAAATTGGCTAGCGTGTAATTTCCACTTATTTTTATTCAAACGGCCACATAATTGTAAATTAATTTTATAATCTATCCATAGTACCTATTTCATTCGAGAATACTATTACTATTCCTGCACTATTCACATAGAATAATGATAAATAACGCTCAAGTGGCGCTTACACCGATTTATGTAGCAATAAAATTATTGTCATGTCCAACGGAATAAAAATGCATGAGAAAGTTGAAACTCTGTCAATGCTTCCCTTCTATGATGTTTTTCCCAATATTCCCCCTTTTCTTCCTCTTTCAATCATAATGAAACAACGTACCTTAAAAAATTAGTATAAAAGAGAAAGTATCAAATATTGTTATCCCATACGTTGATGCATCATAATGTAGGGCTGCAATGTCTTTTGAGTGCAAAAGGTGGTGTAGAATCGACTATATTACGGTGAAATTATGTCACTCTTAAATCACTCTACATAAAACTGAATATCCAGTGATATCCTAACTTTCGTTCATCAAAACTAAAAGAAATTACCATACGAAATGGATGAAAAATGTCAAATAAAATTTTGATGGTCTCAAGTGACATTATAACACTGTGGCTCACAGACTATGAATCATAATATCGAGGCACTTAAAATGTGGAAAATATTAATTAGTGATTGTGATGTGGATTGATGTGTGCTTTCAAAAGATTGTTTCTTATTTAATATCATCATTAATTCACATTTATTTTAATTGTCAAAAGTGCTTTGAAAGTTCATTTCCAAACGGGTTGAGTTTTTCTTTCTTCTTTTTTTCCTCTCACTTTCTAAATGTTGCTATTATCCCTTTTTTTTGGGTCGTCCATTCAAAAATCCGCCCCCTTTAATAGAAATGGCTTTTGTGCTAAATTTTTTATGTTGAAGAATGATCTATTGGGAGTTTAAGGGGGAGAATAAGAGTTGTATTGCGTATATTAATTAGGTACTCAAGAAGAACATTAAAAACAGTAGATCTCAACTCTATACACATTTTCTCCATAGATGCTATGCTAAAAGTATATTTAATTAGGAATCAATGAAGTAAGCTTTACAATTGTCTCGACTCCAAAACCCATTTGCTTTTGCCATGGCTAAGTTCTTCTCCACTAAATACTTAATGTTCTTATTTGAATTCTAGCCTAAATTGCCTCACACGGCATTTACTTTCACAATAGTTAAACATTGAAGAAAATTCCAAACCCAATGGACGCTTATAATCAGTTTCCACATTGACAAACTCAGCTTGGAGTCATCAACTCACATTGAATGGTATAGCATCACGGATGCCTGTTTATCAACTC